TAACGCCTAAATATGATATTCAACTGGTTATCTAGATATAGATCATTTATAAATATTGCCTGATATCTATGGAAATATTTTGTTCAAGTCATTTCAATAATAAAGAGATGGTATTGCAGGACTCTCTATGATATTGTATTGTAGGCAGTTTATCAAAATGGCTATAAATCTTTAAATTCTTTTGAATTAGGCTCACCAGGAATGCCATGCATAGAAGACAAAGGCAATGTGAATAGCTTTTGTTTCAGAAACCCCCTTTGGGAATTAGTGAACAAAAAACGGTGCTTCATGTATTCAAAATAATAAAAAAATTGAAAACCTGCGTGGAGATGCAATCAATCAATACATTTCTGTTATGTTTTTCCTTCGCTCTTTTCCATTCCTGAATAATTAATGAGTATGAGAAGTCAATGTCAAAGTCAAAAGTCAACGTCCTCCAACTTTAAAAGGCTGGACTGGACTTATAGCGCAACGGCCTGCATGGAACTAATTGTGCGGACTTGAAATCCCGTCCAGTCTGAATTGTAGAACTTTAAACATTACTTCCAAAAATATCGCGAAAGTTTAATTTAGTCATACTTTGTACTTTTGAGAGAATTATGATTCGAATAAAATGAATCAAGTGCACGCATATCTTTTTTAGCGTCAAAATAAATTTGAAAATTGCAACAATTTGTAGCAGTGTATAAAAGAATATTGTATTTAGACTCTAAACTAAGAGCCATTTTGGACATTTTGTTTTCGCTTTTTTTCTGAAGTCATCATTAAAAYAAGATTCCGTCTTATCATCACTCTATGTTAACATCATACTTTACCTCAACACAAATTACCAGAGTTTGAAAGACTTTTTTTGAAACCATTTTGAAAGACATCAATTCCACTGGAAAACGACGACAATTTTCCCTTATACATAATTAAATAGTCTGGATGAATACAAATGTTTCAGCTTTTCTGTGATTGGTGGACACATTGAATRCGTTGCAATGCTGTAGTRGTACATTAAAATTTAATGATTGCAAACAAAATTTAATTAAAAAATAAGAGTAAAAACAGCATATATAATCGATCGTGATGGACTGTGAAAGCGATTTTTCACGGGTACAGAGTCATTCCAAGGAGATAGAGCGGATTTCGTATGAGTGGGACACCGTTACCACACGGTAATTACCACACAGTTACCGGACCTGGCTTGCACAATTTTGGTGAACCAATGGGGCACTAGAATTTGGTTACAGTACGATTACGGTCACAGTACAGTACCGTCCGTTTCCAACTCATACGAAATCTGCTCTAGCGGAAAACAGCACAATTTGTTATCTGTTGTTCTTTACTTAAATTTATTCGTCCTGAACTATGATATCATAMATGCAAAAAAAGTAAATTAAAAACAAAACAAACAAAACACAAATAAGTTAAAAGGATTAATAATAAATAGTTTTGTACAATTTTAGAGTTGAATACAGAGTTTAGCGAGCTGTTAACTGGCTACCGAGCAATGAAATGAGATTTTCTGAGTTTTGTTWTGTTTAAAGAAATAAATAAATTCACAAGGGGGATCAAGTGATTGCTGATAAATATTGTGCAGTCCTTTACTTTCAAAGGTCTCGATCAAAATGTAAAGATAATGATAATTTGAATAATTTATGCGTTTTCGGTTTGAACATCAGTTTMTATATCTGTTTAAAACGTTGTGAGATTCCTGAGGTGCTGTCGTTGTTATTTTGTTGTTKATAAAACACTCCTTATCAGTATTCGTTATATAAAGAATACTAATAAGGGTGACCTTTATCAGATATAAAGGTCCATGAACCTAGAAAAGATCTCAGGTTCGAAACATGATCATTGACCAATGCAGGGAGTCAACCGTTTGCAGTAAACAGCCAACAGCCGTTCTATTCTATTTTATGCGTATTCAATGTGGGATGACAAGAGTGCTTTGTAAAGTGATTCGCGCATGATCAGTTTGCTCAAYTTATCTTATTTTGAACTTGTTTGTATTGCAATTTCTCCAAGAATTTTAACGGATTTGAATTTCAAATTAGTGTTGGAGTTTTTGATATAGTTTAACACACAAGAGAGAGTGTTTTACCTGATAAAACACTCTCTCTCGTGTTTTAAACTATACTTTACATCTCAACTCATAGGTATCACCTGCGGCTTTGCAATTACCTTCAATCTTCAGTTCTGCRAACAAAGCAATCTTCCTTTTCGCAACTTCGTTTCCTTAAAGRATTCGATCTTTGCATCAGGRAATTAGCAGGAATGCTTAYAGCAGAGGAAGAGAACACTTGAATTATATCAATATTGAGATTGAGTCATCAGTTATAAACAGACATTGCAAAAACAAACATAAAGGAACAAAGACTAGTTTTACTATGAACGTAACAGGTATATATCAAGGAGACACCATGCTGAGACAGATCGCGTCTGTTCTTGTCTCGATAAAAGATTTATCAGATGAGCTGTTTTATCTTATCGTGTTGAGAATCCTTCACTTTTCGTGTCCACACCCACGTAATTTCTCAATTTTTCAAAATCAGCTAGCCCGCTCAAAGAGCGTCTAGTTGGATATTGTTCCCTCATTGTTTTTTTTTTTTACGTAGTTTGCCCTTTACGTACTAAAATTTAGTCATTTCAATATTTCGTTGATAAACATCTTTTTAAGCGAAAAACATTTGTAGAAGATTGTCACSATTAGAGTACATACACTAAAACTGTGCAACATAAATACCACTAAATACTGCTAAATTATGCTAATTCTATTGTTTTCTATTGTTTATTTAACACTATTTTGTAGTAAATAGTGGAAAGTGTTGCACACATTTAATGTTTGTACTCTACTAGTTCTTCAGGACTTAACGACGCCTTATGGCTTTTCACCAGTGCCACCTCATCCTGTAAGAGTTGCACAACAGTTTGGTTGTATATTTTGTATTTTATTCCTTTTGCTGCATCAGTGTGCTATTCTTACTAAATACAACTTTTCTATCGATGGTATCAATCATCCCTTTTTACTACTCTTATATGTGAAACAATCAGACATGGTCAGTTTATTTGAGAATAGGAAAAATCACCTGATCCAATTAGCGGCCAATTTTTGTCTTTTTACAGTAACGGACTGTTCTTGAAATGGTTCTGGTTTTGCATGTTTTAGACACCTTGTCAAAGGTGTGTCACTGGCTGGTGACACCACATTTATATCACTCCAACTTCCAATGTTAGACAAAATATACTTTACAAAGTTACTCTAATGGTTAAWTAACTTGTATATTTCTCAGTGCTATTTTGTCTCTGGAACTGTCTTCATTTTTAGAGTAGTGAGACACTATATGAATGGAAATGGTCTCTTTTCTTTCTTTAAATTATACGGTCAAATAAAAGCAGCTCTAACTTGCTACTCTTCTACTTATACTTAAATTGTTATGTGTTTTCCTGAGTTTTACTAGGCTAGGGCTGCATGCATAGACATGGAAGCTTTTCCGTGTTTTCTAGTCATTCTCAGTTCTGTGCTCAACAAGTCGGCACATCCAAGACCAGTGCATGTACGTTACAAATTACTGACGAGATTTATTTACACTGGTGTTTTAGTGGAAATGTTTGTTATATACATACGAGCTATAACAAACCGGTATGATATTAACCGGTCGGACGGCGGAAGATTCTATTTAACATGGGTGTGGGACACTTAAATTGAATCTCATATCCCTAAGACAGGGATGACAACTACCGTCAGAACGAAGCTTGTGATTGATTGTTTGATCGAGACAACAAAAACAAAGATTTTCAAGATTATGCAAGATTGTTCTACTTTGTTTTTTGTATTGCCTGTCTRTCTTTGTTATTTCATCGAATCACAATCTTTGTTATAATTACAGTAGTGTATATCCCTTAAGACCAGCTAAACTATTTATAACTCCATCCATCTACTTTATCCATTGTGATCAAGATCCGGGTGCGGATCAAAAGCTAAATAAAAAAAAAACCTTTGTACAAGGCGCCCAACGTTTAACATTTTTTAAAGTTCAAAACCAATTTTAAAAAGTCCAAAAGTCATATATTTCAATAAAAACGCCGTGTCCTATTCAAATATATGACTCATTTAGCTATTATACCGTCTCATATAGTATTTGTGTTATGGAGTTATCGCAAAGCAGATACAATTTTGTCTCAAAATAAGCAAGAACAAAAGGATGACGTAATTTTCTCAAACTGAAGCTTTTTTCCAAACGTTTCTAAGATATTGTATCAATATCGTGTCAAAATACGTTGGTTCGTGATAAAGCGGATTTCATACGACTGTGTACTTTCGTGCCGTGTCTGTACCGCGCAGTGACGGCAGTGTATTCTAAAACCCTTAATTTCATTTGGATTCACTATGAGGCGAGAACCAGTGACCGTGCCGTGATCCGTGCCCTTGCACAGTAATCCGAAATCCGCTCTATAATACCCTTATTGAAATAAGGCTAAAACGTTTCGTGACTTTTCCGATGTTTTGTCATATATCTGTCTAGTAGCCCTTAAAAACTTATTATATAACTTCATAATAAGAACACTGGGAATCCTCTCGAAGATGACCCTCAGCTTTTGTGGCGTTGTTAAGCTGGCACTTGCCGCTCCCTTCGTTGATATAGTTAAAAGACTTGCATTTACTTCCAGCATTCAAGCAATAGCTGACACATTTAGATGGCTCTTCAGCATCCTCCGTCGAATAAAACACGTGATCAGTTAGGCATCTTTCATTGGTGGATATAAACATGACGTCAGCAAATGCCGTTGGATCTAGTAAAACAATGATCAGAGTGGTTAGAGCACTTTGACAAACAAAAAATCAATCGTGCATATCTAGTGCAATAAGATTATCCGCGAGTTATCATCTTTGCTTGCCATAGCGAATGGATCTCGGAGGCAATTTTGCCAAAATTGGTTTATGTTCATTAATTATAAAATTTCTTCCGATTGTATGTTAAGTTTAAAAAAATGAGTGTTTTGAAAATATGATCGTTGCCCATATCAAACAATTGCCTCAGAGAAAAATTCATTCGTTTGCCAAACTTTTGCTGACCATATATGGTAATCTTACCTTATAAGGAAGTACGTTAGAAAGTTTTTTTCAAGTTTTTTCCACCTTTTAGTGCTTTAAAAATGGCTAAAACTTACAGAATTTGCAGAGAAATCGCTTTTCAACATGTCGGCCATTATAATTTTGTCCTAGTACCCTCCCATCCTTGAAAATAAGGAATCCCACAAAAGACACAGGTAGCCCGCGCGAATGTTAGGCAATTGTTTGATATGAAAATTCGACAACAAATACAGTAAACATCTAAAAATAATAACCTTAAAAAGTAGCCTGCGTACATCCGGTTTAACGCTGGATGAACTCAGGCTAGCAAAAAGGGTTCTAAATTACTAGGTTCTTGATTGCTAATAGGGAGGAACAGTTGTTATTGTTTTGCATATATATCATAAGAATAATAAATAAGCTTGATAAGAACTAAAATTATGTAAAATACTATAATATTATGTATAATTGTAACTTTCAACTACTGTAAAAAGTAAATAATGAACTCAAAACTGTAAATAAATTCAGTACTTGTAAGCAATCCTCAAATCGAGTCAGGGTTTGCGTAATTGCTCTAACCCATATTATAGGAACCTGCTTCAGATAATGCTTGGCTAAAGAGGTTCTTATTTAAGGAGTTATTAAAATTGCAATTTTCTGCCAAGACGTTCTTAATCCATTCGGTTCTTATTTTCGGATTTATTGTAATTGAACAATCCAAACAGGTAGCTGAATTCAAACGCCTGGTAGCCATTGTATAGTAAAAGCAAATCTTAAAGGGCCATGGTACACCAACATCCCTTTTGAGCTTGAGTTTCTCGTGTTGGAAAATAGAAATACATAGTAATATAAGCAAAAACTTACTCATTTTTATCCCTTTATGCTAAGTATATGCATGGAGATACTGTATGATTCGACCTTGAAACCCGGATGGATGGAAACGGATTGCGAATAGATATTCGAAGTCACCTCATTTTCCCATATATGAAAATCTAAAACACGACCGCATTGGATGCTGGCCCTTTAATTCATCCATGGAATTAT